AATTGATGAAGTTTAAAATCGTGCATTCACTACGAAATTTAATTTTTAAAGTTGAAACCGTCAATTTATGAAGTTATAATCATGTATTACATCGAAGTTGAATTCTGAAAGTTGAAACCGTGAATTCATGAAGTTAAAATCGTGAATTCAACGCGAAGTTTAGATCATGAATTCATGAAGTTCAAATAGTGAATTCAACACGATGTTGAAATCGCTTATTTGTGAAGTTGAAATCGTGGTCACGTGGAGATGGAATTGTGTATTCAATAAGTTGAATTTGTTAAATTGACATCGTACATTGATGATTTCACGATGTTAAAATTGTGAATTCACTGAGATGAAATCTGGAAATCTTGAATTTGAAATGTCCCCACCGGTCTTTTAATTGATTCTGTCATACCGTTTGTTAAAGATCAAAACAATCATTAGATAAACCGTTTTTCTTTTACCATGTAATTATAAATAAGCATTCACGTTCAATACACGAAACAAAACACATAGAAAGCATATCATTTATCAATTTTACTTCATTGTTTGCTTCTTAGGTATCATTTCATTAAGAATATACTCTTTTCTGTTTAACGGAATGACTTTAATAAGCTGATAAAAACAAAGATAGATTAGGACAACGATAATATGTGCATGAAATTAAAGATTTCATGTAACATGCACTTATCTGTGTCATTTACAAAATATTATTATTTACATGTAACTGGCTTAAATGTCCCTGGATTAATACACAGTAAAAATTCATGAAATTCAGTATAGTTCTTTCCTTCCAAAAAAACTGCTGACTGCTGCTTTTCTTTGAAACCATTCTTAAACATGGCCTCAAAAACTGGTGAAGACAGCATTGTGACACATACAGTTCTTGTTGATTATCGAAAACTAAACGGACTTCATCCGTACACTTTCCAGGTGCGGTAAATGGCTCTGGACACTTTGGACATTCTTCCTCCTTCTCATTTTCTGTGACTGTACTCATTTCAAAACTGTTTTATTATAAAGTCCTTGAATGAATAAAGTAATATAGATATAGCTTTTTTATTTCATGAATGAAAAAGTTAATAAGTTTTTCCTTCAATCAGCCATTAAACGAATATCACAGATTTAAACTGACTTGATATACAAATCAATACCAGCAAAATACATTTATAAAGCTTTCAATACACCACGAATCAGCTATAAAATGTATCTTATCTACATTTTTTGACGTTTTGCCAAAACAGGTTTGTAATGTATAGTTCGTACACGTTAGATAAAATCACATCGATATGGTTATTTAAAGCATACGAAATATACGAAATCACTTGTTCGTAGGCGGACTTAATCATAGAAAACGCTATTCATAAAACAAAGTTTAATTTATACAAAAGAATAAAAATGTGGAAAAGTTATATGTACTGTGATTTGAATTATTACATATAGCTATGAAATTCTGTGGTTTTGTCAAAAGGACACATTTAAGTAATGTTGTGCAAAATAATCTTATAGCAGACGAAATTAAATTTAGCTAGATCCCAAGGAGAGGAAATTACACAAAATAGGTCCCATTATACAAACACATTTGTCATTGTTTGGAACGTTTATAAAAGTTTGCGTAAGTGGACATGTACGATAACTTGAAATTACTCCATATACTGCCATCTATAAAAAGGCTTGTTTTCGATCCTTGAAGATCGATTAGTTGTGTTTGTGGCATTTTAGTTCCTTCTATCGTTTTCTAGTTGGTCGGCTCAAAGACTGTATTATCACGCTTAAGATATGTCGCCTGCATTTGAGATTTCCATCACATTCAGGAGCAAATAGCTAAAAATAAAGCATATCGAGACTCTATTTTATTTACATCATTTCCCGTTACTTTATTTTCAATTATAATGAAAAGTTTCAAGCAGTTTAAAAAATTTCTATCAAAAACATCTCCTAGTAAGCTTCAATGTTTTAACGTTCAAAAAGGGGCATATCTCAAAATAATTATATCAGTTTTCATCAACCACTATATAGATTAAAATATAGCACAAATAATTTGAAAAATGTTCACACCATTACAGGGAATAAAGACACAATCACAAATTTAAAATCAAATGAGTTGATTCCTGCAACTGTTTAGAGTTATCTACCTTTGAATATGACAAAAAAAGCAAAATAACTCACAACTCAGGGGCAGACTCTTTTCTTTTATCGAAAAGTTCAATAATTATGATTCTTTTTGCAAACTTTAAGGAATTTAATTAACAAATAATTTGAATTTCTCTCCTATGCCTTTGTAAAAACACACACGTATGTTTTTGCGGGATTATTTATTACAGCACAGTAGTTTAAGCTAGTACTATGGTCCGTGAGGGATGTTGAACTTTTCTATTAGCTGTCACAAACCGGCTAAATCAAACCGCGTCTGCAATTTTCATGTAATATTGTTGTTTCATTGCATCAGATCGACAACCCTTTTTCAAGATATTCATAACCTCTGATCCCGTTTCAAAATTTTATTTAATTTTAGTTCCGCACATTACTTTCTTTTTAAGGGCACATGCATTTTAAAATTTTGAGACCATACACCGCTTTTCATAAATTGATACGAACCTGTCGCATTGAAAGTTCAATGAAAACCACCGTATGAACTCATCTGTGGATACCAAATGTTGAATTCTGCTCAAGTTGGTGCTAGGTGTCGACGGTAGCTCGCAATTACCAGTATCAGTCGTGACCATCCTCAATCAAAACGAGCCTGTAACATTTTTAATTGTGCCGTTTTTGGCGTTCATTTTTTAAAAATCAAACTATACCATGCTTACTTTTGTTCACTTGGTTAACCCTAAAGATTAGATTTTTTAGTCAAATGCCGTCTAATATCAATTTCTTTCCCTGTAACATTTACAGGAAAGGACAGATATAAGTAGAATTTCATTGGCCATTTTATAATAACAAACCGACACATATGAATCTCATTTGCCATTCTAAAATCAGTAAAATTATATAACGGATCTTTGTTTAATTATAAATGAGTCTAATTTTGTTTAGTTAATTTAATGAAGTTTCATTGAAACATACGGAATCCCGTTCACAATGATACAATGGTGGAAGCACAATGGCGCGATGATACGATGATGAAACGCGATGGTCCGATGGTGAACACACGATAGTACGAACGTGAAACAACGATTGTACGATGGTGAAACAACGATAGTACGATGTTGAAACAACGAAGACATTTATCGCTGGTGCTCTTCACAATGTACTTGAATGACATAGAGTTAGCTCTTAATAAGCACATGAATAAATACTTGTCCGCTTTCCCCCATCGAATACAGAAACACTCAAATCCAAAACATATTCGTCATTGCATTGTTATATATAAAAGTAATCATTTAACAGGGCATTTGTAAAAATATATATGGAAGTCTATTTGTATTTATTTAAATGATAAAAATTGCAATAATTTGCTATATTTTTTTGAGAATATTGACATGTTCAAATAATAATCAAAACCTTATGCATTGTATTACCAAATAACATTACCATGTCAATTCAGCCTAAAATCAAGTAAAACTGGTCAAAATTGTCACATTTAATTATTTAATATGTGCATGTACGAAATGAAACATATGACTTACTAAGTTGTCGTATACTATCCTATGTGTTGTTGTTCTTCAGCGTAAGACCTTGATATCTTTTTTTACATACTGTTTAAGTTTATCTTTTTCATAATTCTCCGTTGTTCTTCATAACTGATATTTTGTATTATTGCTTATTTTCAAGTTATTTTCCAGATTTCTCCGGTCAGCTGTTTTTGTGTATCGTATCCTCTTAGCATATACACATAACGTATCGTACCAATGACCACCTTTTACCACGATCCAGGTTTCCTAGATAGCAGCTACGCTCTGTTGACTCAGAATTTCAATCATTATGTTTGATAATCTCACCAGGTTTCCTCAGAAACTTAGGTACATAGGACTTTCTGATATCATTTGTTTGCCGACTTATAATAAGCATTTTTTTCAATTGTAAGTATATGAGGGAAGTTGAATTTACGAGCTTTTACTAAACTTTTACACTTTTGTCATTTCCTTCGAGGTATGACAGCTTAGGAAGTAAATAATACTGTTAAATACAGCAGATATTTGTTAAGTATTTCTCTAATTCAATTGAATGTTATCCGATCTTTAAATAAACTAACTAACCGGTCATTTCCTATCTAGATTGAGTACTATTGTACATTATTCCAGATGTTTTGTAAATCATTTAATTTTGCAAAATGATACTAATCGTATGCAGTCGCCATGAGAGAAGGTCCAGATATCAAATTCTGAAGAATTTGCTTTCACTGATGCCCAACTGGTAAGGAAAGTAATTCCAACACAAAAATGACTTACAAAACTTGTAAAGTGACATGAGAGTAGTGCAACATTGTGCATATATAATGTATCTCATCAACAACTAATCATGGTAAGAAATATAAAATTCCATATGTAAATAAGCAAAAGCAATAACTTTCATCGACTTTATTTTTCAAAATGTCCGTTACATGTTTCGCGTGAATGGTTTATCATGAATTGGCAAGAAAAGCATTGATGCAAAGCACAAAATGACGTCCTAGCAAGAAATGTAGCAATTTACGATAATCGAGTATAAATCTGATGACCAGATTTCATTGGATTTTACCAGAATTGTATATCATAGATGAGTGGGCGAACAAAAGACATTGTTCATCATGAACTGCGGTAGCTAGAAATGTATTTTCTTTGGAACTCAGAATAAACAAAATATAAATTCTGTTTTTTAATTACCATAATTGTAACAAATTTACAAACAATATATAAAAATAGTTATAAAAAGGACTAATATAGTTATAATACATGCATTTATTTCATGTCATATTAAAAAAAAGATTTCTTTTTATACCTGGGACTTAAGATATAGTAGTTATATTTCAAGTCCCAGATACAAACTGACAGTAGGACACACAATGAAATGAAACATTTGGGATGAAATTCAAAAATACCCATTTCAAGATTTCTTTGTTATAAGCGATAACAAAAATAATGGTGCATAATATATAAATATATAAAATAAAAATCATGTATTTATTTGCATGGCATGCTGATTTGGTGAAACATTATTGATTAATATAATGGAAGTCTGTTACCTGAATTTTAGACTAGTATGAGGAAATTTACTTATTCATGCGAGTCAAAGATATAAAAGCTACTTGACATTAATGGTAAATAAAGAGTTATTTTTAATTGATTTATTTGGAGATAAATCCACGATTTTGTTTAATTGCTACAAGATCCGCATCTGACTAACCAGTGTGTTTACATTCCTGTCAATGAACCAATAACACCGCATGTTAAAACTGCAGACGAAAGTTTCTGTTATTAAAATGTTACAGTATTCGGCAAATCAACGTACTGAGTTGTGCTTTGTTTTGTATGGTAGTTGTGATCAGCCTGTGTTCCAACGTAGTCCATAATGTAACAGTGACTGAAAACAATTTACAAATAAATCATTTAAAACGTACTACAATCAGAATGATAATAATGTAAGAAATTCATACAAATATTTATTTTCAAAAATAATGTATCAATTTTATTACATCATTTTGTGTTACAAACATGTAAACGACATAGATTTCATATTTGATCGAAATGAATGCTATCTTCTGTGTAGCAAAATAACACCTATAAATAAAATCTAGCACTGTCTCATATAAAGTTTTTTTCTTGCCGGATCACTTATTTCAGGTGGTTACTTGACGACATTGTCTTTATCCAGTGCCAGTCTTTTGCTTAATATTGTACATCTAAGCTCAGCAGGAAGGGTCTGGAATACTGTTTTACATTCACCAATTATTTTACGGTAAGTGATTTTTTTTCCGTTTATTTCTTGTGTATTTGAATGATAGTCGGTACAAAGCGTGTCAGGTTTATACGAACCATAATATATTCTATGCGGCATTTTGGCGATAATGTCCACAGCGTTGTCTACAAGTGATATGTAATTCAGTGCCAAAGACGTCGTGAGAATACTTAAACATTGTCGTGTTGGTTTTATATGAAACATATAAAAGCCAGTTTTGCTTTTAGCAGATACATATTCTTTCTCGAGCCAGTTTTTCATAACCGATTTGCAACTTTGGATGATTGAGTCAACTTGATATTCCTCCGCTATAGGTACAATGCGCAGTACATTGGCTTCTGAAAAGAAATAAAGAAATGCAATAAGACAGGGCCGAGGTGTTACTGGAATTCATTCGATTTTGCCATACCGTTTATTAAAGATGGAAAACTAATTTCAAGTAAATCGATTTTGTATTACTATGTACACAAAACAAAACATATAACTATTATATCATTTATTTTTCTTTTTTTCTTTTTTTCTTTTCTTTCTTTCTCTTTTATTTTTGCTGCCTAGGTATTATATGATAAGGAAATTACTCTGCAGTAAGTGAAACTGAAACAAATGCATAAGTGTACAGAAAAGTAGGCATTAAGAAGAACATCCTTCTTACATTGTCGAGCATATTTTATTCATTTACATTCTAATTTATAACTCAGTTCTTACCATCATGTTAAACTGTGTGATGTCTTATTAATTAATTTGATAAGAAAAAAACATTAACACATACAGCATGACTTTGAACGTTAAAATGCGATTATTTCAGACACAGTAAATGGGAGTTCCCTATCCCACAACAAATCCTACCGAAACAATTGATCAGTTATATATAGCTTTTTAATCATGGAAACAAAAGCAGTTACACAAGTCGATAGATTAAACTATTACCTATTAATGTACTAATATATTTGCTATGTAAAACGCGTACGATAAAAAAGAAAACAAAGAACATTTTTAATACTATGTAGACATATTGAAAAATATGCATATGTTACCATCAAATTGACTTTATATTAGGAAAATACTATGCTAGTGTCTGATATAACATAATTTATCTGACAAATGGTACATCCTCGGCCTTGATACTAATTTTGGTATTCTAATTATAACGTTTTCAAGTTAGTATATGTTTCTTTTTTTAAATTTCAAATGAAACATTAACCTGTTAAGAAACTCTCGAGTTCATGCTCGGTGCATATTACGAGTCATGGTCATATTTAGAAGATATCGTTCTACATGTTTTAAGTCAATTGATCAATTAAGGGAGCCTTTATATGTAAAAATATATTCGATTCAAAGTGTATCAGTTTAAGATTTTTAAAACTAGTGACAGGTAAAATCTTCTTCTTTTTCTTTTCATTTCAATGTGTATTGATAAGTTGTCTTATATAGCTGTGGATGACTGATAACGTTAAATATATCAGATATGCACCTGTTCAACAGAAATCAATGAAATGACATGATAAAAGTACTTGTGATGCTTTTGTATTGATTCCATTACCCCATTCAAACTCGGATCTCACGATTTATTTATTAGAGACAAAAAACCATATTAATAAAACCGCCTCCTCTTTCCTGATAAACGACATAGATAGACTTTAACAACGGTAATATATACACGTAATTAAGGATAAACATAACATTGAATATTTATGTCATTAATAAAATATCATTACTTACCTGTAACTGGCTTTAATGTCCCTGGATGAATACACATCAAAAATTCATGAAAGTCTGTATAGCTCTTCTCTTTCAACAAAACTGCTGATTGCTGCTTTTCTTTGAAATCATTTTTAAACATGGCCTCAAAAACTGGTGAAGATAGTATAAGAAAGTTTTGTGAAACATACAGTTCTTGTTGATCATCGAAAACTAAACGTACTTCATCCAAACACTTTCCATGTGCGGTAAACGGCTCCGGACACTTCGGACATTCTTCCTTCTCATCTTCTGTGTGTGTACTCATTTCAAATCTGTTTTATTATAAAATCCTTGAATGATTAAAATAATATAGATATAGCTCTTTTAATTCTTGAATGAATAAATAAATATATTTTTTCTTCAATCAACCATTTAACGAATATAACAGGTTTAAACTGACTTGATATACAAATCAATACGAGCAAAATACATTTATAAAGCTTTCAATACACCACGAATCAGCTATAGAATATATCGTTTCTACATTTTTGACGCGTTAATCTTTAGTTTCGCCAAAACAGGTTCGTTATGTATAGTTCATACAAGTAAGATAAAATCAGATCGATATGGTACGTTATTTAAAGCATACGAAATCACTTGTTCGTAAGCGGACTTCATCATAGAAAACGCTATTCAGAAAACAAAGTTTAATTTATACAAAAGAATAAGAACGTGGAAAAGTTATATGAACGGTGATTTCGATTAATTATATAGGCATGAATTTTTGTGGTTTTTGTCAAAAAGGAAAAATTCAAGTAATATTGTGCAAAATAATCTTACAGCAGACGAAACCGGGGTTAGTATCTCGAAGCTATCGTTAGCATAACGACTATCGTATACCTCTCGTTAGGGTTTTCACCGCTATCTCGACGCTCTCGTAATTAACGAATAATCGTTAACATGCCCAATTATAAACGGATGCCTAGAGGGTGTCGTAAGGCTCTCGTTACTATCATTTTGACACAAAAGTAAGAAAGGTGCGATTTTAAAGTACATAAAAAATGAGAATTATATCATTTTATTGATAAAAAATGATGAACCGACATAAATATAGTAGATCTATTGTATTTCTTTTTCTCATGAATTTTCACAGGCCCGTAATAGATTTTATTGTGTAAATTCACTCAAAGAACTCTTTAAATTAATACAATTCCATAAAAAAATATCATTGATTATTTGAAAGAGATAAACTTGTATTCTTGGATCTAATTGGCTCATTTTTATTGTCATTTACAAAGTTTTACATAACATTTTAAGCCTATTATAGCATTCGACACGATATGGCCAGTTATGTGTTGACGACACGTAAAAATCCAAACAAACAAAAATTTTCTCACATATCAAACATATGTAAAGGTTCTTTACATTTTGATTAAGAAATAATATATCCCAAACTGTGATTTTATTGCTCAATAACATCACTGTTTGGAGTTCGGATGCGGGGAATTATATCACGAGGGCGGATGAAAAAAAAACATATCATAACTTAAACAGCGAAAGGAATAATCTCCGTAATGTGTAATTTTGCACAAGAAAACATATATAAATATATGCATACATCATGCTGAAAATTCAACAAAATTGAAACTAGTTACAAAATTATATTTCGAAAAGTAAACTGTGACGTATTAATTACATCATGAAGAAAAGTGCATTACGTCAGCTGCAAAAATCGGTACCACAAAAAGGCATGTAATATATATAGAAATGTTGTTTGTTTATCATTTTATATTAACATATATTTCACTCGCGAACACCAGTTGTTATAATTTAACTCGTTATATTTTAATTTATAATACAGCAAACATCCTTTGTTTAAAACAAAATGAAAATTTATCGATATTAATTAACAGCAGCCATGTATATATTTAGTAATACAGATTTTTGACAGGTTATATGGCCGTATATAAACGATAACCCGAGCCGCCAAGTGAGAGTTATATTGCAAACAAAATTATATCGGCCATATATTTTGTTTGCAGACGATGCAGTATTTTTTGCGCACACAACGGAACCCTTACAGTCAATGCTCAATGATTTACAACTTTATTGTTTCAATTGGGGTATGAAAATCAATACAAAAAAGACAAAAATAATGATTTTTGAGCAAGGAAGACATTCTTCTTACGATTTCAGACTAAATAACGAGTCATTAGAGATTGTAACACAATTAAAATATTTAGGAGTGACTCTATTCAAGAACGGTCATTGGAATCGCACCCAAAAAAAACTCTTGCGCAACATTCCCTAGAAAATTGTTTACTTAAACAAATGTACAACATACTTAAAATTGACGCTGACAACGAAAATTCATATAGAGGGAAAATTGGGCCTACCATATCAAATCTATTCTTCAGGGGATAGGGATGTCTTATTTCTATAAAAAACAGAATTTTGGACATATTTAAACAAGACTGGTATAGAAAAATAAATAATTCAAGTAGATTATCTTCCTATTGTATTTTCAAACATGAATTTAATCAAGACTTATATCTAAGTGTTATAAATACGAATAAATTCAGAATAGCTTTAACAAAATTAAGACTGTCAGCACATAATCTTGCCATTGAAACAGGTAGACATCAAAGAACGCCTAGGGAAGAAAGAAAATGCCAAAAATGTACCATGAATGTAATTGAAAATGAGTTTCATTTCCTCCTTATATGCCCAAATTATTATAACCTAAGGAAACAATATCTAAAACCATATTTTTGTAGGTGGCCTACTATTAAAAAATTCGAATTACTTATGACAAGTAGAAATCCTAAAGAAATTATCAATTTATCAAAATATTTATACTTTGCGTTTCAAAAAAGAGAATTACAAAATATTTAGAATAAAATAAACTGAAAATATATAACTTTTAAGAGGTTAATTTATTGTTCTATTCTGTTCAGTATTAATTGTTGTTTTGTACCATTCTTCTGTAAATTGTTAAATATTGTACAATGTTTGTAACACGTTTATCCCTTTTCATATGTAATTGAAAATTTATTGGCTATATGTATGCTCATGCTATTTTATGCCAAATAAAAATTATGTTTTGTTATGTTATGTTATATCCT